AGCCGCTGTACCCTGTTGATTAACTTCATTTTAGTTTAGAAAGAGCATTTGCAACCTTATTTAAAATTTGAGGACCAACATCTACATTCTGTTCAAGATTAAGTTAGATTGTAGCAAACTTAACTGCTACCCAAAGTACTCTGCCTGATGTTCCAGCCGTCCATCTTGAGATGTGATTTAAGTTCTATCCTTGTCAGCGATCGTTTCACTTGGCAGGAACCCTTATCCCTGTATTAATCATCCCGAAAGAGCAAAGATATGACAAGTGAGCTAACCTTAAATCTTACAAGGAAAATTAATGACAGAACCAGACTTCGGTTAATTATACGATAACAAAAAATATTCAGGAATCCAACGGTTTTCAGGAGGAATAAAATCGTACTCCAGTAACAAAAAAATAAGTCATGCTTTTTATTTTTATAACTGGAAATTGAGAAACCATCATTATTAATTTCAATTGAGGTAGTTTATCATACTATCTAAGAATACTCAAAATTGCAATATATTTCGCACATAATAGCATCTCTACTGTAGCAAATCGAAAAATAATATTCTTCACACCAAACAGCTTATAAAGGGAAACAAACGGATCCAGTTCGACAGTTAATATAAATATATTCTTGAGTAGATCCACGGAAATTTGATTAGTTCAAATCGTAAACTGTTTACAAAGAGCAATGGTCCAAAACAATATTTTCTCTCTCTCTCACATATTTGTCTAGTCTGTCTGTCTGTTTTCGACATAGAACTTTGCACAAATGTGCGGAAGTTCAAGTCGCCACACTCCATGTAGCACGCGAAGCAAGAGAAGAAAGTACAAGAAAAGCATAATAGAAACAGTGAGAAGAGGTGTGAGACAAAGGAGTAATAGACAAATAGAAAACAGTTTCATTGAAGACCATAAGTCACAGGGAGTGGATGCATCTGCGCCACTGAGAACGGTTTTGAGCCATGTCACCAATTGTTTCCAACCATAGATTTTTACTGTCCCGAGGATCCCAACCAGGAAGCCAGTCTACGCCTTCCTACGTGGCTTAGACCAACTGTTGTGGATTTCATTGACTGGTGCAAAGTTTTTGTTTGACCGCCGCTACCTTTTTTCCAGCCTGACCCTATATCCGCTAACATTGCTCGTCGAGGGAGGCGGTGGCTTGGCATACGTAACACATGTCCTAACCATCTCAGTCTTTGTAGCTTCACGACTTCGTCGATTGATTTCCCCTGTTTACCTAGAACTCTACGCCTAACCTCCATGTTGCTCACCTTATTATGCCACTTCACACGGGAAATAGAACGCAGGCACCTATGATCAAAGACAGCTAGTCTTTTCATGTCTTCCACTCTCAGTGGCCAGGTCTCACAACCATAAAGGAGGACGGAGCGGACAGATGAGCAGTACACCCGCCCTTTGGTCGATAGTCGAACATCTCGTCTACGCCAGAGTCGGCGTAAACTAACAAATGCGAAACGAGCCCCTTGTATTCGTGCTGAGATTTCGTCAGAGATCAGCCCGTTGGCACTGGCTGATGGTACTTCCCAAATAAGTGAAGCGGTCTAGTATGGATGCCTGTCAGTATGACAAAAAATCAAGCGTATGAAACTGACAAAAGCTAACAATAAAATTGACTAAGTGTGATTAGCACATGCAAAGTTGGATTATTTCTCTTGATAATAAATTGTGTTCGAATTCTCAGAGGCGCTTACAATGGGCAATTTTGTGAACGAGTAAATAAATCTAAGAGTAATCTTCAACTTCGAAATATTATGTGACAAACCACCAATCCTATTACTTTTCTATTCGAAGAGAAGTATTCATATTTGAGAGCATATTATCTTATAAATAGAACAGTTTTAGTCAGTGCTTTATTTGGTTAAACAACTGTTCTTTTGTTACATTTGTTCAGGCATCCTAAAAATATAGACAGTGCAATCTTTTCTGTTATTGAGACTATGAACATTATTGAATGCAAAAACAACTATTTCATGAAGGCCTTTAACATTCTTAATTTGAATCCAGAATAAAAATAATTCCTGACAAATCGTGCAATGCTAATGATACGAAAACTCAATTACACATGACCTCACAACATTTGCTTGGTAAATGAACCCTGCTTGGATATCTTACTGTTACAGTATATCATGTCACACTCAAGTTGGAGTTCGATTTAATCACGTCTTGACCTGGTGCTATGCGTGTGTAAACTCATTGATATAAATGTGAGTTGTATTAACGTCACTATGGTATTCGTCGGAAGGCAGTTGCCCTCACTGCAATTTATTCAGTACACACACATTTTAAAGATGAGAACGAAAGCAACTTCCATTATATTCACATGCGGATAGAAATAACTTCATAACTAACTTTTGATTGTTTTTATTTTTTGCTAATATATTGCAAAACGAAGAAAGATGATTGGGTGACGACGTCTGTTCACAATTGGAATGCCGATAAAGTGAATGCGTGATTAATTCATTTATCAATCCTGTTGCAATCGCTCTCTCTCTCTGTTTTGTTCAAATTTGTAAGTGAGAAATGATGCGTACAATGAAAAAAATTTCTATGGAATCATAGAAATATTTGGAGTAGTTCAACGTCGTAGATACACACATACCGTGACCAATGATTAATTAGACTTAGAAGTCAACAGGTTATCACATGAACGGTATATTCGAGATGAATACGACAATATCCATAACTGCATTAACACCAAGATATCAAGAAAAATCAAGGATCAAAAACAAAACAAAGAAAAACAGTAAAACAAATAATTGAACTAATACGTCATTGAACATAAAGTCATTCAAATTAAAATAAGATAGGGGAATCAAAAACAAGACATACTATAAGGATAATATAAACCTATGATAGGATAATTATCCTCGGAGGGGACAATAGAAGTTATGAGCATGTGAAAAGACAATAAATAACTACGTCGGGAAAAAAAAATAAAGAAAGAGCTCTGAAGTCACATAATAATGCACATAAACATTATTATTCATATCAAAGGTTTTGTTGTTGGGCATAAAAATGTAATATTCCTAGTTTTTAAGCTTCTTGAAAAAGCAGTTGTGTTTAATTTCATTTGTCACCCATACGACATACGTCATAATATGTTCGAAGAGATAACTTAGTACATAAAGAGGACTGAAAATATTTTTCAGGAAGATGACATAAATAGGCATTACGCCCTTGAGGAGAAAATTACAATGGACTTCATGATTTGACAAAGATACACATAAGCATTACTCAAAGAGTAGAGGAACCAATTTTCAACTTTAAAACGACAGACATAAACTATGCTTTCGGACGAGACTTGTTTAGGAAACACTTCCTGAGTGTCTTCTTCACTTAGTCTTCATCATCAATCATATCTTCATCGTCAGTTTCTACAGCTTTTAGTTTATTTGTGTTTCTGTCTGAATCCACATCTAAAAACTTGTATTCAGCTGTTGCCATGTCGATTGCCCACTGGAATTTTTCTCTCTGAGTTCTGTTAAATATTTTTTCAACAGGAACGTTATATTTTTTGCACCTTTCGAAATAATGAAACAAAGAAAGAAATCAAATACTACCTCCAATTATTCAAAAGCTGGAAGTCTGATACCTTGCTTGAAACCAAAAAGTCTGATGTTCCCACAAAATGATCTCAAAACCCTTTAAACGTGTAAAGTGATGATCACTAAATCCTAGTTTAACGACAACGAAGTAAAATGGTTGAATGCATTGGCTGTATCACTTATATGCAAAATTGTATCAGTCGCAATGCTATGCTCCCAATGGCCTATAAGCTTGGATACAAAAGTTCCCTAGTTGGCATTAGCCAATGGCCTACATCTTTGCTGTCAGAATGAAACCCCTATGTCAAATAAAGAATGAGTTTCGCAGTATACTTTATCCAACTGCACGGATGAGAGATTTGACCACTGAAAGTGGAAGGTATGAAATGCTAGTAGTTTTCTAACCATGTGTTGTAGATTAATAGCCCGCGGCAGGTGAGAAAGACGAATTAACTGGTGTTTTGAACTCTTGTCCACCGACGTGACTTCGACACATGTAACGCACTGTTGAGTTACTGTCATTCTCGAGGATTGAAGTTGTATAAGGTTCACAAACAACCATGTGTGGTAAGACTAAAACATGAGACCAATCGATATGAACCATATGAAGACCAAAGGATGCTAAAAATAAATGACTGGATACACTCAATGTTATGGCTAAAAACCGCTAACACTGAATACATTATTTGATTTTCCTCATATTAATCGGATTGTGATCTAATAGTACTAGGCTGAGTAAGTCGTTCAATAATCATCCAACTGCAAAAGTTCAGAAAGATACAGTGGGGTTGGAATGAGACAGAACCTCTTAAGAACTGTTACAATCATTTAATGCATACGCCAAACGTGGGAAACAAGTGTTAGAAACGTTCATACTAACTGATTATTAGGGAAACTAGTATTAATTAAGTTATTCTCACGATTATCTTACCAAGCAACTGAAATTCGAGGATCCAGATAGTTTAGTTTACTTGTACTGAGTGCGATTTCTTTATTTTCATCTCTATCAGTAGCCTGCAACTGTAATTTTGATAATGCTTCTTTGGCAGATGCGAGGCGTTTTTTTAACTTTTCATAAGCTGCCTTTTTCGATGCCTGTTTGTGGTTTTTGTAATCTGCCTTGATTTGCTTAGCTTCCATGGTTATTTCTGAAATTTGCTCACGTTTCGCGTCGATCTAGGAAGTGATATGCATAATAATAAAACAAATGCAATACAGAGTGGTGTATAATTGAGTGTCGTTCATAGTTCATGAAAGCAAGACACACTTTTTGGTAACCAGATAACTTTGTGTTATGACCTTCCGAAACCATAATATAGAAGTGCGAAAATAAGAGGATTCATGATCTTCCGTAGTTTTTTTGTTACTATGGTCTCATTATATCTCCAGTCTCAGCTTTTATGTGCTTTTCTGGAGTGGTGAGGTGCACACTGACGAAATTCCACGTAAGGTTCTACGGTAATAATTCATTCATTTACTCATATGCGTCATAATATACTTGTTAAATGCCTTTGGTGCTAGCAAATAAGGTGGCTAGTGTGCTAGTCTGTTAGAAAATCTTCAGAGATACTTCACAGGAGGTCTCATTAGTGTTTTAATTCATCAATGAAATATGAATATCTGGTTTTCAAAATTCAAATGAGCTTAGATATGGAAACCAATGATCTAATTTATTAGTGGGAAAATGCACGATACAAGCACTGATGCAGCCAGTCGCGAATGTTACAGCTGTAAGTGCGTATATGAAATTCTTAAAACGCGACAACTGTTCATGTACTGTTCTGTACATCCAGATGTATTATAATGGAACCATATTCTAAAGACTTCTCTAGGAGTAATTAAATAGATCAAAGTTGTTTCAAATTAGAATACAACTAAATTAAAAATCGGCGTATATACAATTAAAGCTACTCTTTTGGCAATGCAGTGTAGGTTTTCAAAAAATTTGCTGAGATACTTGAAACGGTAAATCTTGGATGTTTTGAATTCTAACGTTCACTCAAACTGGGACTGATTTCAAAACAAAGATATTGGAAATTTTCAAAAGATTTGTGCTTCCTTCTTCCTGAGCACTGCAGTTCGCAGTTGTTCAAGGTTGTGGAGTTGGTATTTGCCAACGAATACTGAAGAAACTAACTCCATTAGTCCCTAGGAAACTATGAAAATTTCTGGTGTAGCAAGCTAGGAATCTAAACAGTTATCCCCACAATTCGGCAACAGATCAGAACAGTAGCTCACACTAAATATGGTAACCATTTGAAAGATGGGTACATTTGGAACACTTCACGAATATGGATAAAAATGAGATGAAGAGATGAAGGTTAATTTTCTATTCTAAGGAGTTTGAAGCTATTTTCAATATGCCATCAAAATATATCACACTACCTTCTTCTGTAAATTTTCCATAGATTTGGCGAAGGATTTTGGGACTGAACGTTGATGATTACATAGGACAGCAACCGCTCGATTGTACGCAAGAAGCTTAGCATGAGGAGGATCGTCAGGATTTGTAAGCTTTTCCAACTGTTCTTCCAGAGTCCGACTTGCATTGTATGTACGGAAAACTGGCAGTCAAACCTTCCATAAGTTCCCGTAAGTACTGATTTAGAACTGTTGTCTATAAAAGTTTCCGGATTATTGTGAAAATATGTGAATACCTACATTAAGTCGATCAAATAAATCGTCATTTTCTTTCTTGTTTTTCAGGAACAACTTGACATTCTTGAAAACACGTTTAGGAACGGAAACCGCATTTTGATAGCGAATTGAATCTTTACCCAGGAAGTCGAATTCCACCACATAAGGCTGACCATTGAACTCTTCATGTAGTTTAATATGCTCATAACGAAGTGAGCAACAACCCACGGTATCTGCTTCGTCTTCGTCTTTCTCGTTACCAGCACGAAGAGCCAACTAAATTTACAAGAAAAAAAGCAGTAGGGTGATAACAAGTTTACCTTTTAATCATTTAGGGTAATTATACCGCCTAGCATTTCTGAATGTGCGGAATAGCATGAATCAGTGACGTCGGTTAAAATCTGAACCTCGAAACCAATAAAGGACAGTTTTCAAAGCTGTCAACTACTTTTCAATAGTCATGAGAGTTTTGGTGCCTTGCCCTCATTAGTTTCTAGTTATAACTCAAGTGCGGATGACGAGATGCCATGATAAGGTATTTACTCCTAAAGCTTTGATTTCAAACACGTTTTTCCTCTATTAACGTTTATTATTAAAACAACATACCTGATACATTATGAGCATAAAGGGAAGCATCACACTAAATCTCATAGTTTGTGCGAGGGTCGGGATACTGCCTAGGCAACCAGGCCAAAACAGGTGGTTGTCTCGAGGGACCACACCCTAAGCCTTTAATTTGGTCTGATCCATAAGGCAATGGAACAGCGTTCCTCTGTTTGCCGGTGACCAAAACAAGTCCATACGCCATTCGATCTGTTCGGATTCTGGAGTCCATATATACCAGATGTTTGAAATCAGAGTTTCCTAGCTCTCGTTGATAGACCAGCATGTCCACCAGTCCGGTTGTAAGCACCAGACATGTGTATTCACCCTTTCGCTTCTGTGAGGAATACCCTTGCCATGTGCAGGCAGTGAATCAGACTCATCTGGTAGAGTCTATGAACGCGTGACAACATGAGAGCACTTCGAGAGGAAAACTGAAGTCTACCCATTCTTGACCGATGTTTTTTGGTCGAAAGATATTGCCATAGTAGATACTAATTTATTTACAGATCGATTCCACTTGACTTATAAAACTCCAATGATGTTTACCAGAATACTACAAAACTATATGTCCTCCTGTCTGGATTCAACATAGAACTTGGCACCGAAGTGCAGCAGTTCGAGTTGCCACGATATGTCCTCCATAAGTGAACAGAAATTTCTACGTGTATACAACTGCGAATTTGATTATAAAGTGGATAATCATAGAAAACTTGGATAAGCGAAGGGTTTGGTATCAGGGTGACGAAAATATGAGCAACTTAACACTTTCAATACCGTTTTAAATGACTGAATTCCTAAGACATTTCCCAGTTAAAATTCCATATAGAGACTGGACTAATCACATGCGAAACAAGCAAAAGAATTCATAAATATATTTCAGGAATGAAGCTTATGAAATACTACTTGCCTTATCAATAAAATATAGTGCCACCGCTCTTTGTCGTATTCTCATTTCCTTGTGTTTGAAATCAGCCCTATAATCTGCTCTGATTTTGTCAATGATTTTGTCCAGGCAACGGGCAGTTTCATATTTCTTCCAGTCTTTTTCACCCTAGGAAATAAACTAAGGTTAATAAATGACCAACCTTTAAGCGAGAGGATGGGTTAAGCATAACATATTTAAAGCTATTTTGGATGTTTTTAGTCCAGCATGCTAGCCAAGTGACTGTGTTATCATGTCTAACTTCCTTCCACCTGTGACCTTTTGGAGGAGCTGGGACCTTTGAGTCTTTTGAACAGTTAATAATAACATCTTCTGGCATAATGCGTTTTTTAAGCATGCCCATCTTGGGATGATTACCACGTCCTCGAAATAAACCTGGTGGTTCAATGAGAAAATTCCCAATTCTTTGTTTGTGACCGTCTAATATGCAGTAGCCGTATTCGTTCTGAATTTGTAAATTTTCTTCCTTGGACCGGTTTTTTCTTTCTTCACTTAGTTTGAGAAAATATTGGTGCATTTCTCGGAAATCGCACTTGCTCAGAGACTTAATAGTCCAACGTTCCTCTTCATTCATTGTCTGTAGAACGGAATTAGGCATAGCATACAGCTAACTTACTTTTACCCAATCCCGGAAGTTGTGATTGAATACATCTTTCGTGGTGTACTCATGGTCCAGCATACGTGCATAAAACCCTGCAACTTCTTCTGCGTGGTCTGATAACCTCATAGGTTTAGAATCATAATGAAAATGCACAGAGCTAGGCAAACGTTCATATGGAGGGGCAAATAGAGGACCCTTGTGTTCTAGGAATCGCCACTTAACACCGTCATCTTTTTTCTGCTCTTCCCACCACCTCCATACTTCCTCTTCAGGCTTCTCTTGCTTTTTACCCTTTGAAGGGGATGAGGCTTCCTTCTTTGTTTTTTGATTTGCTGGTTTTACATCTTTCCGGTGTTCCTCATGACCTGGCTCCAATTTCGGTTTTTTGGACACTCGGAATAACCTATAACAATGATTAGTAAATAAACATGCTTTACTTGTCTGATAATGGAATGTCGTCGTCACTCGATGAGTCTTGCACTCTACTCCGTTTTAACTTTTCAGGCAAAGGGATGTCTTCTTACGCCTCCACTTTGATAGAAGCATTCGGAGTCCCATTACCAATATGGGACACATTATTTAGAACACCAGTCATTTTACTAGAGAAAAAAAACCAAGTCAAGCAAAAATTTACCATAAACTTGGTAAAAATCAAAAGTTTGGTAATCATTAAGAGCTGTGGAGCTGAGATAGAACAGTGTGAGCCTACATGGGTTAATGGCCGGAAGGTTTGTCAAGTGCTGGAAAACAATTCTTACATGCCTTAATTTGAAGCTAGCCAGTAAGGAACTAAATTTGATGGCACTTTAAGTAATAAACCTACGTATGGCCACTAGCTACTATGAAAGAGGGTACTGCTGTCACTCAAAATTCACGTTAATCTCAATATCTGGTTACACTACTACACCAAAGTTACATTAATGAACTGAAAAGAGCAACCACTTACGGTGCGCTGGAGGAAACTTATCTTTTCAAGCATTATATATGATTCAGTAAGTTTATTGCTATGAGACGAGCGAACCTCCTGAGTCAAGTAATAAAACTGTGCATTTCAAACTGTTAGCTGCTGGTAAGGCGAACAACACCAAACAAATTGAACAACCATCATTGTGACAATAATAGAATCTGCAAGCTGAAGATTAACTGCTTAGGAAGTTAGATAAGTGCCATTTTGGACAGATGATCCATTATGCGATCAGGCCTATCGAGTTAATCGAAACCAAAACAAACAGTTTATACAAAATAAGTTACAAAAAACTAGCTGGCACTCGGTAAGGGATTAACCCTAAAAATTAATCCCGCATAAAGAGCAATACTTTCCAGTTTTCTGTGAAGTAATTAACACCAATTTTGTCATAGGAAAGTCAGTATACTTGGTGTAAGAGTATGGCGACTCAGGAAGATAAAAATGCATAAAAAACATCGCACCATCTTATATTATCCGGAAACTGCTAGTGGAAAACGATGAGTAAGTGAACCTGTACAGAACTGCCCAAACATATATGACTGATCATCTAACTACTGCCCCATCTTTTGAACCAAATGGGTGTGGAGAAGCATGAAATGATATGCCGGATTATTACTTCAAAGCGAAATGTGAGTTAAGACTGACCGTGGCCAACGTTTAATTTATTCCTGATCCCTACATACGAAGTTAAGCAAAAATCCCTGGATGAGGACTCCAAAAAATAGGCTGTTTAATTTAGATGACGTGCAAACCAAATCGCTGTCGGTACTGTTTTGCGATGCCTCCCATTAACTGCATTCTACAAAGTCGGATTCGTATTCCTATGTATGGAGTTAGCAGTATGGCCTTTCGGCATACAAAAACAAGGTCTCAGCTCCATATATTCATCAATGAGGAGTTAATATACGGGTGATGAAAGGTTCTACGAGGACAGTAATTAATCTCTCACAAACAAGACTTTGAACATGTCATGCGGGCACGCTTAATTCTCTTTATAATCACAACACGTGTTTTATGCATCAAAAACAATGTTATTTAGTGTAAAACTAGAAAATTAGCACATGTACTCAAGATACTAACCACTTCTAATACCTGGTAGTACCTGAATAGCAGAACGCGAGTTGGAATTGGACAAGTGCACAAGAGACGTAACTTGCACACAAATACACTGCAATTATACATTTAAATGCTATACCATACGGTAAAACGTTGTCCAGCATCCCCCATCCTGTTCAATTTCACAATTGATTGGATTTCGCGGCACGCCCTAACCGAGCACCACGGCGTCCAACTTTCGCCCGATATTCACATAACCGACCTCGAATTCGCCGACGACGTCGTGCTGTTAGCTGAAAACTTCCCCGATATGCAACAGGCGCTCGACCAGATATATCACCTCGCGCCTACCATCGATTTGAAAATTAACACTTCCAAAACAAAAATGTTTTCGAACACATCCACCAGCAATGATGAAATCTTATCCCTAAATGGAGCACCTATTGAAATTGTGCCATCCTTCAGATATCTGGGATCCATAATGCTCCCCAACGGCCAAGCGAAAAACGAAGTGAATGGGCGAATCTCCAACGCCCGGAATGCGTTTCTACAGCTGAGGAGCGTTCTATGGAGCAAGAGAGAAATCAGTCTCAGGACTAAAATTCGGGTCTACCAAGCTTCCATACGACCCGTTCTCCTGTATGGCTGTGAAACCTGGCCTCTTCGCGCGGAAGATTTACGCAGACTCGAGGTATTAGACCATTGGTGTCTCAGGTACATTCTGCATGTTCGTTGGCAGGACAAACTCTCCAACGAAGAAGTGCGTCGTCGTTGCTACAACATCAACCAAATTCCAGTACTGGTCCAACAACGCCGCCTTCGGTGGTTTGGTCATGTTCTGCGCCGACCAGATGACGATCTGGTCAAATCAGTTCTAAATCCCTCGCCATTACCATCTTGGCGATGTCGCAGGGGCGGACAGCTGAAGACATGGCTTGGTACAGTCAAGGCAGATATGGAGTGCCTGGGGCTACAAACCGTCTACGGACTCTGTATGTGGAACAAGAATTGGATATCCCTATCGCAAAACCTTGCATCAGATCGCCGCGCTTGGGCAGCGACGATTCGAGACGTTCATGAAGCCGACTCATCCTCCAGTAGGAGATAGCCGAAGTAAAGTAAAGTAAGTAAGTAAAAAGCATCTGAAAAGTCATCGAAAAAGTAGCTGACGCTACTCTAATACAAAAACAAATAATAGTCACATAATGAACAAGCTGCTTTAAATACTCTGTGTCGGATAAGTAATTCACCAGCACAACGGTTAAAAGGTGGACATACCTCTACTGGAATTCGGGTTAAGGACTCGGTCAAGAGTGAGGAGCTTTGCAGGATCCATGAAAAACCACAAGACATATTGAAAATTGGCATCACGTTACTTTCACTCCTTCCTTGAATGACTTGCTTTTCAGTGTGTCAGACAACTTGATTGAAAAATACTACCCAGCTAGCATTTTCTTCGGGCGCATTGAAGACTTTTGGGCAGAATTGGGCAAATTGCAGACTTTTAGGGACAGATTAAGGGCGCAATGCAGACTTTTTTCTGGAGACTTGGGGAAATAGCAGATTTTTAGGGACAGACTTACGGCGCATTGGAGACTTTCTGGGGCAGAATTTGAGCACACTGCAAATTCCTCTTCACCCGAACTTTTGGAAACCCATTGTAGTAATTCGAACTCAAAAGCAGGCGTAAGTTCAAAAACTGGTGGCGGCTGAATAGTAAAGGCTTAGCTCTTTGTTTGTAAATATAAACATCTTTTGGACTTTTCTGTCGCGTTCTGCTTCTCACCTCACCCCGTGTGCTTGATATCTGATATTGTCTGTGTTGTTCTATTATAGAACATGGCGAGCCGGCCCAACTCGCGTAAACTAAAGCGCGAAGTGAAGGACTCTGAATCTCCTGCTAATGCTAACACCTGCGACCCAGAAAATGGTAACAGAGCGCCACCAGTAATGTCATCAACCTCACCGACAACGTCGACGTCCACGCCTGCCCCAGATATGATTCAAGCAATGGTCGTAGCGTTCAGAATAGCATTGATGACGTCGGATACACTTTCATCGTCCTCCAGCAATAAACCTCAAGTTAAATTCCCAGCACCAGAAAAGTTTGTCCCAGGGGAATCATTCACATTGTGGGAGGAGCAGTGCCGTCGCTATATACAACAATTTGATGAAGAACAAAGAGCTAGTGCTATCATCTGTTTACTGTCGATACCTGCGTTGAAACGCCTCAAGCTAGCTGGCGTTGACACTTAACAGACGATGGAAGTAGAGGAGCTATTTGCAGCTATGCGTCGAGCATTTGCGCCGCATACCCATATTCTTGGGCAGCGGGCTGCTTTTCACGCATGTGTTCAACAGAGCGGCGAAAGTACAGAGGAATTCCTCTGGCGACTTCAAGAGTTAGCTCCAGTGGCTTTTGAAGGCGACTCCGCAACCGAAATCAGCTCCCGTATTCTCCACCAATTCGAAGAAGGGTTGTTGCACGACGAAGTACGAGAAAGGGTCATCGAAAGCAACCCTACATCGCCCGTGGAGGCTCTACAGGTTGCCAAACAGAAGGAAGCTCTAATTAAGCTTCGTGAGAATCGGCGACCTACAGAAGGACCCTATACTCAGTCACAGTATCATGGCGCCGAGAAAGAGGAATCGAACTGCTCCGACGCTAATCGCCCACAGGTTTGAAGCCTGCACCCCGGATCACCGAGGGTCATCTCGGCGCCATGATACTGTGACTGAGTATAGGGTCCTTCTGTAGGTCGCCGATTCTTACGAAGCTTAATTAGAGCTTCCTTCTGTTTGGCAACCTGTAGAGCCTCCACGGGCGATGTAGGGTTGCTTTCGATGACCCTTTCTCGTACTTCGTCGTGCAACAACCCTTCTTCGAATTGGTGGAGAATACGGGAGCTGATTTCGGTTGCGGAGTCGCCTTCAAAAGCCACTGGAGCTAACTCTTGAAGTCGCCAGAGGAATTCCTCTGTACTTTCGCCGCTCTGTTGAACACATGCGTGAAAAGCAGCCCGCTGCCCAAGAACATGGGTATGCGGCGCAAATGCTCGACGCATAGCTGCAAATAGCTCCTCTACTTCCATCGTCTGTTAAGTGTCAACGCCAGCTAGCTTGAGGCGTTTCAACGCAGGTATCGACAGTAAACAGATGATAGCACTAGCTCTTTGTTCTTCATCAAATTGTTGTATATAGCGACGGCACTGCTCCTCCCACAATGTGAATGATTCCCCTGGGACAAACTTTTCTGGTGCTGGGAATTTAACTTGAGGTTTATTGCTGGAGGACGATGAAAGCGTATCCGACGTCATCAATGCTATTCTGAACGCTGCGACCATTGCTTGAATCATATCTGGGGCAGGCGTGGACGTCGACGTTGTCGGTGAGGTTGATGACATTACTGGTGGCGCTCTGTTATCATTTTCTGGGTCGCAGGTGTTAGCATTAGCAGGAGATTCAGAGTCCTTCACTTCGCGCTTTAGTTTACGCGAGTTGGGCCGGCTCGCCATGTTCTATAATAGAACAACACAGACAATATCAGATATCAAGCACACGGGGTGAGGTGAGAAGCAGAACGCGACAGAAAAGTCCAAAAGATGTTTATATTTACAAACAAAGAGCTAAGCCTTTACTATTCAGCCGCCACCAGTTTTTGAACTTACGCCTGCTTTTGAGTTCGAGTAACTACAGACCTCGTAAGTCGTAAAGCCGCCGTAGTCTCAAGGATACAGTTAACCACCGGTGACCTTCACAAATAAAAGAAAAAGTGCAAAAATTGATTTTCGCAATTATTATTGAAAAAGAACACAAATAATCACCTTATTGTGAGTTTATTGGTAAATTTTTAAACGCGGCTTATACAGTTTAAGGATGAACTTGCGAGTAATTGTGTTCATCCAGTTCGTTCTTCGCTTCGTTCACTTACAGATTACATGTACGTCACGTTCATTTTATATTAAGCGTTTAAAAAAATTCGAAGAATGTTGTTGGTCGTTTTTTCACGTGTTATTCATTATATTTTTTGCATCAACTCTGCTAAATCAGTTGTCGTGGAATTCGGTGCTATGGCGTAATTGCCGTGCATATAAGAAACTTCGAAATTTAACTTTACCTTTTTGCAGTTATTGGAATTTTTCATGTGGATGCTTCGTATTCCTCTGTTTGACATCAATGTCCAGCGCGGAAGAGTTTAAATTATTGACACCGTTGTAGGAGTGCTTTCAGTTTGATTTAACGATAAACACATCTGACGCAACCTTCATTTTTGTCGCGATTCAGAATAGTTATTGATATATGTACGTGGGTGGTAATTACAATGTTAGATTCCGTCGTGAATCTAACACGTATGCTGAGCATTTGCATGTTGATACCTAAGCTACTCAAGGAAAACATTGTAGATTTTCGATGAATTCAGTCAGCAGGAATTCTTAGGTCTCATATTTGTTGTCACTTGTTAGGTAACCTATTCGCGTCAATGCAACTTGAAGCATACTCACAAACAGGGTTTTTCTGGTTTCGTAACCCTCCACTCCAACTATATGATTTTAGTTGATGTAATCACACACCCAACTAGGACCTTTCTTCTTTCGCCTAATAGTTTAGGAAATAAACAAGTAAAGTCTTTTTTGTGGTAAACTGTAATCTCACACCGCAATATTATGGGTAGTGATATGTGTCTGAAACTGTATCCAGGAGATATGTCTCCTTGCAGTGAAAAAATTGTTACAACATACATTCGAGGTTTTATTAAGACATAAGGTGATAAATGTGGATTTCAGGAAACAAAGTTCACCAGTTATTTAAAATGTAAAATTTCAGTTGCTATTACAGCATTTATGGTGTTTATCTCATACTCCATGTTTTCCTGAATTTAATTTTCTGCTCCAGATGTACTTTCTCGTGACTGCCGAGTGCTACCTAACCAAGACTTTTTATTACATCACCCTGTTACAAATTATTTACAAGTTGACAATCTCGAAGGTAGCATGGTTTTGTTGTCCCATAACATGACTTACTATCCGCGGAACTTTTCTTGTGAACTTGTTGTCCATACACCTATCGAAAATGCCAAAATTATGATGAAAATTGAAGAATTTTATATTCCTTCCAAAACTCCTAGCTGTGTAGAAAACTATTTGTACGTATTTGATTCAAACACAGCCAAATCAAAGGCAATGGTAAGTTTGTTGAATATCCTTAAAATCTTCACAACTTATAACTTATTCCCCTTGGATCCGTGAATGTTTACTTAAAGAGATCTGTATCTTTGATTTGTATATGTCGTTAATTTGAACATTTTGTGGTGCACAATTAGTACTTTAATTCTGAATTTGTTTTTATTGGATTATTCGTAGCCTGAAGCTGGTGGAGAACGTGGTCTATGCGGACCAGATTATCCAAAACAGCTCATATTTACAACGAAGTCATACATCTGCATCGCTTTCCAGTAAGTTGATGTAATGAGGTCTTCAATAATTAACATGACAAAAACGCAGATATGGTGCGTTAATAGTACTGTTTCAATTTTTTACGTTAACACTACCACTAAAGGCTTTTGATGAAATTTAAAACAACGTTTGTGCTATTTTTTTTTACTAAAGTACGCATGACATAAGGTGTTACCATAGTCACTTAGTGAAACAGCGATTTCATCTGAGATGGTCATTTAGTGACCTGAACTTCTTGTATTAAATAGTGATCAGTTTCATGGTGTTGGCCATAGATTGTTGACATCAGCGTCCGTTAAGGTCGCTCTTCATCAACTAGTAAAACTTGGTCTTGACTTTTGATTTCCTTATATTTAAATACCTTTATGTGTGTAATGTATTTGCTACATTTGTGTGGCTGTTGTCCATCAGCTTAGCATTTGACATTAAGTCAACTGGTGCCGTTCTACCAGCCTCAGATTAAGTGATCGGATATTACCATTAGCCTCCACAAAATAAATGTGGGTGATGGCCTGGTAGATGAAAAATCTGTTCTAGGTAAATGCTTTCTAACTAATTACGTAGATCTGTAGAACTGTCGCATCCTATGACAACTGCACCTAAGCGAGGTCATCAGGCTATTGCACTGTTGTGGCCACCACTGAAAAGTTTTTTTGTGCTTAGTGCATTAGATACAGGTGTGTTCTAGGAGTTGTTTCAAAGTGTGTAGGTGTATTTAACACATACTGTGGTACCATGTGAAAAACCGTAATGGTACTTGGCCAAGAAAATTCGTAAACCTGAAAAACTATGCCAATTTAATTACAAATATTATAAAGACTAAATTCAAATCAGATCAGTGTTCCAAATCCTGTAACTTTCTTGTTTCCTGTTAACACTAAAAATATCTTGGGAGACTAATAAGAGCTTTCTGTTATTTCTCATCTATAATTTTTCCGGCAATTGTAGTATATCCAGATGGATTGTCTCAAACTGCACAAAGTGAGCTTTGTGGATTTCGTTAACCATACAACACTACTGAGTTATCCATATCACCTCTAGATGTGAATAAATCATTTTATTGAAATACAATTCAAAACACTTTATATATCAGCTCTTCTTGCCCTAATTTTTTATTCTCTATAATATAAATTCTCTTAAGCAGGTTAAAATGTGTAAACACCCGCGTGTTTTTTATCGTACAGTTAATTATTTGAGCCAGCCTAGATGATCATAATTTCCGGAATTCATACTCCTCACACGCTTAGCTGGAAACGTCAAGTAATTTTATCTTCCGAGAACAAACGTTGAGTAGTTAATTAGTTAGCCGTAACTTTTAATACTACCTTGTGTGTGAATTTGCTGGTTGATATCTTCAAAAAACACTGGCGAACAGAAGTGAATGAGTGGGGAGGAAAGCAAAAATGAGACAGCTTATGTAATGCGTCTATTGGTGAGATTTACTAAGTTAAAAGTATGACAGGTCGTGATTATTTACTAAGAATTCACAATCCTTTACGATCACTTCATGCTAAAGCCTCATTTATTTACTTTAGTGTTTACGTTTAAATGAAATCTTGTTGCAATTTAGGATATGAATCAGTAGACATCAGGCCTAATCCAATCTAATTAGTCATCAAGCTGATCCTTCTGTTTAGTCCTTGGTACTAATATAATAGTCGTGTAGTTTGTATATGAACGGCTGTGTATCATCTCTTATTGTGAATGAGACTATGATCTAGTAATTAAAAAATGGAACGATGCTCACTTATAATTCTGAACTAGTACTTGGTGTCTTAACTTATACCGTAATCCTTCTTCGCTTTCATTTATATAAGAAATGTATCATGAGTATGTTTGTCTTCTGGTGCTTAATGCAGGAATCCACTAACAGTAGTCTGCAATTATTCTTCGTACGGCTATTTACTCTGAGGTGAGTAATTTGGTTGAGAAGCCTTCAGTGTTTGTCTAGTGCTTGTTTCATTGTGAAGTGGGCTTTTTTGAATTCTCTATGAGTAATATAACTGTCTTACTGGTCAATCTTGGTTGTGGTTAGTTGTCTTCTAATATCGAGAAAAATGATAAAAGCTTCACAATTGAATTAACCAAGCTATCCAACTCCGAAAACACAGCCACATCAAATGCATCCATCTAAGCTACAAATCTCCAATATTCTAGATGTCAATTTGTTGATTCATGCAGCACAGATATACTGATATTCACCTCTCTATTGTTTTAGATTGACCCAGAGTCTCCAGAGCTCACTTAGCAAAGCGTGTAGCTTTTCTTGTGTTTAATTACTTTAATTTTATCACTGTACTTTTATTCATACAGTATTTCGCATTGCCTTATTTGCAGTACATCACCCCAACGACCGCCTGTCCTACCCGGCACAAAACCTGGTTTTCGCGTTATTTTGACTGCAGTTCAAGAAAGTAAGTCCTCAGTGTTTCTCATCCTAGATATCAGTTGCTTTTGTAAATTGTATCTACACAGTGAATTTCTACTAGCCCATTATTAATATTTTCCAATAGTGATTGACTTGAAACTTTGATATTTTACAGGTGAGTTTATCATCATCTGTGAAGTCATTGCATAGATTAAGGTTAGAACAACCTAGAACGCCTCGATATACACTAGCTTTTAGTGAATTACTCAAATAGGCATAAAAAATATGTGTTTTAACGCTAAATTCACCAGTTTTCAAGGTTGTAGTGTGAAATAAATTATAGGGATCTAGTGGTTACTGAGTTTCTCTTCTTCATTTTAATTCTGCTAACTACATATTTAAAAATTTTTAAAAAAACATATCACGTACGTATATGTGATGAGTCAGCTGTCTCTCATCTATACCTTATGCAGCTTCGTATCCATAAAGACGTTATTTGTGAAATAACTGACTTCGAGTTTTCTCCGTTTAAATCTCTTCAAAGGCATGTTTGAGAAACTCTTTACTAAAATGAAATGCAAAGCATTAAAAGACAAAAAGTTAGTGAATTAGAAATATTGGATACACAATATTTGAAACAATATACAGAGCAAACGTATCTGTACTTACGAGTCGTGATACGACAGGTCTCTTACCACCTCTGTCATCAACGAGATACTATGCAGAGCTTTGAATGCCGAACTTTTTAAAACTCTCCTCTTAAAAGTGGAGAGCGTATTTTTAAGTGGAATTGTAGTCTTCGTAAAGGAAACATTTTCTTTTAGCTGCCACAAATGTGTACAGCCAACACTCTTAAAAGCACACTATATTGCGAATAGTTTACACTACTATGGCACTTGATCTGAGTCTAAAGACTATTCAGCTTATCGTACTAAAAACATAAGATCTAAAAATAAGTCATTTGAATGTACATCTTCGGATCATTGGGATCTGACAGCTCAGACACCTCATCATCATTGTAACAACTAATTATCGACCTCATTAATATTTTATATTTGATCATTTGTAGACGTTGGGATCTCATATTGTAATGATAATGAATAGCGTATTCAATATTTTGTTTATCAATACTGGATTGGCATACCATACAAAACCGAATTTCATATTTATAGATAATTCAATGTACCCTAGATAGTGAAATGCGTAACACAATTATACATCCATCTTATAAAGTTACTTTAGATGTGGACTGATTTGAGATTTGTCTAGACTTGCACATTTCTCCTTTTGTGGTCAGAAGAAATTTTGACATATTTTAACACGCTCAATTCTTGTCTAATATATATGGTGTCTTAAGCATTGTACTTTTTTCATCATGTGGCAATGAAAACGAGTTTCTTCTACCATATTTCATTTAGTTGAAGCATATTTAGCAGGATCTCCAACTGTAGTGAAAGTAATTTATCTGATCCTCGTGCTACGCATTGTGTGTGTGATGGATATTTCTAAAGCACTAGAAAGCCGACCCCGCCTGATTTGTTACTGTTTATGTTGTTCGTCTCACCTATCTGTCAACTACCCTGCCCGTATTGTACAATGGTAGTTTGTCCGAATTATGTTTGTGAAGCAAAATTAACTTAGTGATAGTTCATATTAAAATATGGCAGCAAGTGCGTTTTTTTTCTAATTTATTATCTGGAGAAATTTTATGCTTATTTCATTCATGCTAAAATCATTATTTTTCGCATGTTTTAGCTCGTACTAACACCTGTCCATCAGACAATTTTTATTGTGGCTTAATGCCTCGTTTTTTGGCGTCAAACACAATGATGGGATTAAATCCTCTTTCGTCAGACAGCCGATTGTATGGATCCTCTCTGTCTCTTTCACAGAATATGCGAGACCTAGATGAGGAGAGATCTTCAACCAACCATGATAAACAATCCATGGGATACTGCATTACTAGGAAAAGTTTATGTGATGGTATTATTAATTGTGAAGACGGTAAAGATGAAGATATATCCCAGTGTCAAGCTATTATGGGTACGTTAGACTGCATTGTTTTCTCCAGTGTTACTAGTTCTTCATATTAGCGTTCTCTCTATTTTTGAAGCCATGTTTAGTTTACTCATCAGTAACCCCTTAATTTCTACACTACTGAGGTAGTTATGGATTTATAAGCATGCTGCACACAGTTCTTTTCAGCGTAAAATCTGGAACTATCAGGTTTTACAGTGAATGATGTTAATGTGGATGGACTAGCCCATTTTTTTGAACGTGTATCGACTTGCAACGATTATCTGTCCTCACCAGAGATGATTTATTTCAAACATGGCTTGTTTAATTTCATAGGTCGTTGTTCCCAGTTGAAGCTATAATAAATCCATATAGTTATCAATCACTGGATAATTTTATATTTTCGAACATGACTTGGATTGAGGAGGATTAAAATGACACATGCGTCCAACGTTCAAGAAACTTGTAGATGATATTACTTTGTGAAATCTATCTTGAAATTTCACAGTTTACCAAAAACCCGCAGTAGGTGAGAATGCTCGGTACAGCTAAGAAATCTAATATTCCCACCGAAAGTATGCCGAACAATATTTCATTCGTATTTGCAGTAGTCTCAGTACTCAAGATCAGATGGCCAGAAAAGATCAGCAACAGGGATCTCTGGCAATAAGCGAATAGGCAGGAAGAAATGGAGATGGATTGACCATACTCTGAGGAAACCATCAAGTGACATCACTAGACAAGCCATTGCTCGAGTGGTGAGTTGGTCGTCAGTGCATGGATGGAGTGACTTGGAGGAAGTCATGTGAAGAGGAGATGAAAGCATGTGGGCAGACCTGGAGCCAGGTGAAAAATCTTGCAGAGAACCGAAGGCAATGGAGACGCGCAGCTGAAGCCCTATGTTCCTCTAGGAATTAAAGGAAATAATAATAATATTTTGAAGTAGTCAATGATGGTTCTTAAATGCGAATCACTGATTGATTTTTAGATATCTTTTCTACTGTTTCAACTTTTCTTATCATCTTTTTGTAATCTCGAGCAATATATACACCTAATTTTCTAATGTACCGAGTTACAAATGGTTGTCAGTTCTTGTTATGAAACTCCCCCAGGATGTTTCATATCAGTATAAAATAACATCTATTTGTACATTTAATAAGATGAAGTATATGGAGAAATATTTTATGAATGTTTTTTATCCTTTTTTTCTGTCTCTCAAAGGGATGAAAGATTCAAACACAATTCTATACGCCGGTGATACAAATGATCCTAATAACTGGCTATCAGGTTTCCTGTCACTTGGTATACCTGCATCTATCGCTATAGCTGTCAGTACAATTGTTATTTTTACATTGGGTATTGGGGGTGTGATATGTTGTTGTCATCGTTGTTGTCGAATTAACCAAGGTTATAATAATCACTATTCGGATGACAGAATTCAACGCAGAAGTGGTGCATTTCTTTCTGATGCAGGAAACAGTAGTTATAATTATTCTAGATCTCAACATCGAGGGATAGTTGCTGTCAACACTGGTGCACAGTTATCTGGTAATTTGAACTTAGTTTCCCATGTAGACAGTAATCAACAGAATATAAACCGTGAATGGCAACAGAGTGCTCATTTTCCACCTGAATCAGTAGCAGTAGGGGAAAATTACTCACAACGTGGTTATAATGTACCTACACATTATCAACAAGCTTTCAACCACTATTTCACATCTCAGCATACGAATAACGAGAAAGAAATCCAGTCACACTGTATTCTCCAAACACCTTAAAATTATCATTGATGGATAGACCATATCCTATTATGAGTCCTTCAAATGAAACTATGGGTTCTCAATATTTCGTCTCTGTTGGTCACCATGGTAGTGATTCTTACTCATCTATCAATACAAATTCAGCAAGAGGGTTTGATCAATCTCAGAACAGACCACCAGGACCTCCTCCTGCACTAATTCATGGTGCTTTAGGTAGTCCTTACACTTACAGAAGAGGTAAGTGAAAAGTTTTACCTGATTATATTTGAAAAGCTTATGCCATTAGTATTAGTATTATTGTTGTTGTTAGTAGCAGTGGTAACGTTTTATGAATGTAAAACAAAGTCATACAATATCTTACTAGATATGGTATACAGTTCCCCAGTTTCGCTATGTAGTCTTACTTTACATAGCTATGATAAAGATGACCCTAATTTAGTTAGAAAGGATTGGTGTTTAAGGCTGTGTAGTTCATCATAGACTACAAGTATTCCTGTTGTGTTTCGTATAATTGCGTGTCCACAATTGTCATTTTTGTTAAAAAGGATCCGTGGAATATTATCTCATATTTGGAGTAATCTTTTGTACTGTATTTCTCTTTAGTGGATAGATATAATCACACCTGAATAACACAGAAAATAAGTAACTGAGTTTTGTCTTCATGCTAAACTAATTATATCTCTTCTGGATATTCCGAGGAGAAATCAACATTCACAGAATGCTGGAATGCTTCCATTACCAAAAAAAAATACTCTTTTTCATCACCTGCGTTCATCTTTATGCATTTCCCTTTCTCATATTTTTTTCCTTCACGTCCCCAGTGGAACATAGGGCTTCAAGTTGGAGGCTTGAAGTTTCTGTAGCAGTGTTTATTTTTACAGGATGGGGTCGCTAGCCTCATCCCCAACCTTTCCTCTTTATCAGGATTATTTCCATCTTAGCGAGGTAAAGGAGTTCGTCGGGCGGGGATAGAATCCCGGACCATGTGCATGGTCGGCGAGTGTCCTAACCGCTATGCCACCGACGCATTTTCTCATATTTAAATCCCATTAATGCAATTCTCCATTGTTTTTTCATCTCTTAACTCCACAGTCAATTCTAATAAAACCATTTATGGTTTACAAAAATTGCTTTGCTAACCTTACACTGTGTCTTTTAATGTCCTAACCTTATTTTTAATCAGATAGTGAAGCTTTCTAGGCAGATCGTAATATCTCAAAGTGTAGCATATATTTCATCTCTTCGAGTGTGACAACTCGAGCTTGTTCATTTGCGCAAAGTTCTACGTTGAAACCAGTCAGTCAGTCAGCTCCACGGTGTCCCAGATGTCTGGCATATACTCTATGTCCGGTTGGGTGGTATCATCAATACTCACATATGGTGGCATGTTGTATCCAGGTGGAGTACATAGACATACACTGGTTTCAGCAGCTTGGATATGTGCTAGGAATGTCATACCACGCACACATACACACATCGCCCACTATTTCCTAACCCCGGGACTGTGTATAAAGGGTGGAGAGGTAGTCAACCCATGAAATTGTCATGGGATGTAAGATAGTTGTGCTAGGTTAGTGTTTTTTTTGGTGCAATCCTACTCCTTGGTTGGATTTCTATCTGAATGTAAGCATCGATACAACAGAGCCCTCTTCTGTTTGCCAACTGATACTTATTTGTTATGCGTCTATCATATGAGCTAGTGTTCTGCAATATCACCCACAGTATCCTTCTGTCATTGATTCAATTGAACAGGTGACATTAAGTTTGTATCCTGGACGTTTAATTTTTCTCTTATGTCGTGATGTTAACCCTTCCCCCACCTTATCAAATAAGTAGGTAGATAAGTGGTATGGGAAAGCGTCAAATTCCAGGTTATATATGTACGCCTGAGAGGACTTATAAGGTAACTGGTTCTTGAAATTAGCTAATTTCACATCATTCGCAATGTGTTTCTAAAAGGCAGTAGGAAATTTCGCCTTTAAACCTCGACTGCTAACTAAATTAGGCGAGTTTGCAACTTTTGATTGACGAAGATGAGTGGGACGCGTATCGCCCATTCGAAGCTCCCCAAATAGGTATTGTCAGCTCAAGATGCATCTTAAAGTGTGTTACCTCCGGAATATATATATATATATATAGCTGGAGATTTCATTGAAAAAGTCTGATGTCCTAGAGATACGCGAATGATAGTTATTTCTAAATGGTAGACAGACGCTACTAAATTTTTCAGTTGGATGAACACAACAAAGAATAGCATAATCTAAACATGTTTACTCTTCTTTTTAATGGTGACTCGTCGATATGATGAGGCGTCGGGACGATTTGTTTGCCGAAAGTCCTCATAAACGAAACAGTGCCTGAATTACTTTAGTTTATATCCACTCTAGTATAAAATGGCGTGAGTTAGATGTTTGTTTAGAAAAGAATCATCAAAACTCACTAAAATAATATTAAATAACAATTATCTTCTAATATTCACTTTACTCTATCCCTTTTCTCAATTCATCACAGCATTCGAACAATAGTATCACTTCATTGCGCCTACGCATTCAAACACAAAGAGATTCTATTAGTCTTTGCATGTCAAAGTGTATACTAGAGTGGCTGCAATAGCAAATCCAAATCCAAAAATCCCGTCATGGAAACACGTAGTCATAAAGCTAATTCTGAAATGTCTTTTAAATCCATATGTAAAGCATGTTCGTGCCATAAACTTGAGCTTGTTAAACCCGTTACTAAGAAAAGGTTTACACCTACTTTGTATTCAAAACTCATTAGTTACACTGAACACTCTCTGCCAGTACAATTTTTAGGCTAGAGGCTATTTTCATATTGATTTCACTCCTTTCATCTGTGATTTTGACCCCTATTTATTTCAATGTTGACTTTTTGAACTTAGTTTCCATATAGATACACATTTACATTACATGTGATTATAATGCTCGAAATGTTTTGTAGCAGTACCTTACTCTTTTCAGATAAATAACCATTTAATTATCTTGTTAAAGTTGAAATAACATAGTTTGCGTCCAAAATCAATGTTCCTTCTATTTATGTATCCGTTATAAATAGATCCATTATGCTACACACCACCTCCATATGGTGCATGTAATGTTCCCCCAGCAAGTAGTGTTACTGCGAGTAGCAGTAGAACTGGTACAACAAGCGGTGGTCCACGTGAATCTGTGAAGTCTAGACGTGATCAGTCAGCCCCTGCAATGAGGCACAGTAACTCGGGAAATGGAGATGGAACTGGCAACGGGAGTGGTACTGAGTTATTCAATCAGCAGCTAAGCGGCATTGGTTCTGCACTTCACACCAATACACCTGTCGAGACAATATCACATGGTGGTGATCTTACTTCCAATGGTGGTATTGTGTATTTAGGTGAAATGTACAGACCACTTTCTCCACAGAATTCCAGCATATTTCAAAGTGAAAATCGTGGTCATAGTTCAGTCACCACTACTGGTAGTGGTAGTTCGCGTGATAGGCAATCTCATCAGTATTTCCTCAATGAAATACAATCTCACCATAGTGAATGTCAAGCATTTGTACAAAGAACTCATCAGCCATCACTTCATAATTCTGTTCAAAATAATTCTAGGCGTTCGAAAATCTCATCTCATCGTCATCATCATCGTTTAAAACACCATAAGTCAACTGATCCGAATCGTACTATTTCAAGTGGTTCGCATACTCCAAATAGTTCACGATCTGGTGCTTTATCTGTACTGCCACACAGAACAGGCGATGTACACGAACAAATTATTAATCAGTCATCATTGTCCACTACAACAACCATCCCCAGTACTACTGCACCATCTAACCACCAGCCAATAATATTCCCTGTACAGTTGTAAAGCTATTTTTTATTGGAATAATAGTGTATAAATTTCATCAGTTTTAACCGTTTGAGCTCCATCCACTACCTGTCCTATTTTACCTATTGTTGTTGTTGTGAAAAATGTTAATGCATCCTCGCGATTTCGTTTTTTTTTAAAGCAAAATCTATTTTCCACCACTTCTCACTGATTTTTTGTTGTTGTTGTTCATCTCTATATCCTCTTGTGAGCTAGTCATTTTTTACTTTCTACTACTTATCATAGCTGTATTTTCCTGTGTTTTTTACTTCCAGTTATGATTTTATTGCATTTTACACTCCATTTATATTGCTTTTGCACTTTTATCTAAGAGTGATTTTAATTTCTTAATTGTTGTAATTTAACTATTAAATCGAAGTGTTCAAGATTATGTAATTTTTCTCAGTGAGATCACGACGCACTCATTATATATATATATATATATATATATATATGTCAGTTGGTCACTGTGAAAGCACTGTAGTTCAAATCTTACGGTAATTTCTTGACCAGTCTTCGAATAATTGCTGAATAGCTTATTTGTTTATTTAATGTGCTGTCCTGATTTTTTCCCTGTGTGATCTCTTTCTTTTCATCTTTTATTCATTTTAATCTGTAAAAGTCTTTCATCGGGATATGTAAGTAGGATTTGAGCATAACTTTAATTTTTCTATCCATTGTACATTATACACATTTGTGTCGCCCTTGTTCATTTATATATATATATACCATACATGTTCATGAATCATCATGTCAGCAGTAATTGCACATAATATTTTCTATCTTCTTAATTACTCTTTGATTTTTCTGTTAGTACTAGTGATTGATTACTTCTGTACACATTACATTGTTTTTTTTTCATTTGATTAGTAAACATGATTCCAAGTGTTTGATTATATATGACTTGTTAAATAATCGCCTCTAAAATACCTTGTGATATTTCAGATCGAGACAATGAGTCTCCTACTTAAGGAGGAATTAGCCAAACGTGTATCTGAGGTGGACAGCAGGACTTCCCCTGAGGCAACCTGGCACAACATGGAGTTAGCTGTAGACACAGCTGTGAAATCTGTTAGTAAGCTAAAAAACCTACAGTTAGTAAAAGCCATTGGATCTCTACCGCCTCATCCAAACTGATCGACGCAAGAAGACTGATTCTGATGAGCTCCGATTATGATGAGGAGCGAAAGCTACTCAAATGCAAACTAACAAGAAGTCTTCGCGACGACCGTGAACAGTGGTGGGCGACAAAAGCGAAATAGATTGAAAAGGCACGGTGATTGGTAACACCAGACGACTATTTAGACTTATCAGGGAAACAGGTGGCAAATGATAAGTGAAACAATGTTGGAGGAAAATGGCACCATGATTAGCTCCCAGGATAGACGACTGAAACGCTGGGAAGAACACTTTGAGCAGCAGTTAAATTGGCCTACAGTCATACTCAACTTACCGAAGGTCCAACATCTCCCTGAATAGGATATAAGTAGAGATCCTCCGTCCCTAACTGGGGTTACTAAGGCTGTTACTAATCTGAAACGAGGCAAAGCAGCAGGACCCCGTGGAGTGACTCCAGAAGTAGAGACAGTTTACTGTCTGCGTTAACTAAGGTATTAGGCAGTGTCTGGGAATAAGAGGAAGTCCCGTCGGGTTGGTGCAAGTCATTGACTATCCCCATATACAAGAAGGGAGACAAGTCTTCCTGTGATAATCACAGAGGGATTAGCTTGGCTACTATGGTATCTAAAGTCCTAGGCTCAATAATATTGCGTAGACTAAATGGTGCTCGGGAGGCACGAACAAGAGAGAACCAGGCAGGCTTCAGATCAGGAAGAGGGTGTATTGATCATATCTTCACCCTCCGACAGATTCTAGAACATAGGCATTCTTCTTGGCATCCAACAATCGTTATGTTTCTTGACCTAAAGGCACCATTCGATTCTGTCGACCGAGAGGTTCTCTGGCGATGCTTGGCTGTGAAGGGAACGTCCAGGAAATACATCGCACTGATGAAATCACTTTAGTCGAACTCAGGCAGCCAGGTGAGGGCCTACGGCGAGTTGTCATCTGAAGTAGTGACAACTAGTGGTGTCCGTCAGGGATGCCCACTAACCCTAACTCACTTCGGCGACTTACGGATTGACTTGCTACCAGGGAATAATCTAGTTGACTTAGAATCGACAGATGATATAGTCCTTCTAGGTGAAGACGCTGACAAAATGTAGAATCTTTTTGAACACCTTGAGCTGCAATCTACGAATGTTTGGCGTGCGATTAGCTCCCGCCAAATGTAAGGTGAGGTTACAGGACTGGACTACATTGACTTCTAGCTTAGAAATAGGGAGTGAAGTGGTAGGGCGTGTTGATCACTTAACTTATTTGGGAAGTTGCATCAACCAGTCCAAACGGGTTGATCTCTGACGAAATCTCAACACGGATACAGAGGGCTAGTTTGGCATATGCCAGTTTACGCTGTCTCTAGCGTAGACATGATATCCGGCTATCGACTAAAGTACATGTGTACTACTCAGTAGTCGTTCTTTATGACTAGCTGTGAGACCTGGTCATTGAGAGTGAAAGACATGAAAAGGCTGGCTATCTGTCTTTGATCATAGGTGCCTGCGTTCCACCTCCTGTGTGAAGTGGTATAGTAGGGTAAGCAATGCTGAGGTTAGGCGTCGAGTGCTAGGTAAGGAGGGGAAATCAGTAAACGAGGCTGTGAAACTACATCGACTGAGATGGTTAGGACATGTGTTACGCGTGCATGCCTAGCTATCGCCTTCCTTGACGGTTAGTTAATGTTAGCTGACATAGGATCGTGTTGGAGACGAGCTAGGGGTGGTCAAAGCATGGCACCAGTCAATGAAATCCACAACAGTTAGTTTAAGCCACGTAGGAAGGTGTAGACTTCCTAGTTGGGGTCCTCGGGAATGTAAAAACCAATGAATGGTGAAGACAATCGGTGATATGGCTCAAAAGCGTTCTCAGTGATGGCGCAGATGCATCCACTCCTTGTGACTTATGATTTCCAATGAAACTATGTTGTTCTTCGTTATTATTATTCTTTTTGTCCCATATCCCTGTCAACTGTCTGTTTTATGCATCTCTTCTCTTGGTTGGTGTGCTACATGGAGTGAGTGTGGCGACTTGAACTGTTGCACATCTATGTTGAAAACGGACAGACGTCTACTTGTTATTATTGTTGCTAAAGGGTAATCAAAGATTAATTCAGACTACTTTTTACAGTACATCATCTACAATTCATAACGTGTTTTATTTCCGTGACAATTAGGGTAATCTGTGAGATGATAATATTGTAGAGTTCAACAATTAGAAACATAAAGCGGAAACAGACAAATTTTTAGTTGATGTTTTTTGCAAATTCTAATTCATTGCCTGCAGTCAGATATGGGGAAATACAGTTTCTACATTAAGTGATAATTGATGAATACTAGGTGTCTTGAAAACTCAAATTTGGTTAGCATAAGTGGTTATGGCTATGGAATTACCTGTGAAAAATCTCGAGAAAAGTGTTCCTATATTTTTGAACCTGTATAAGTAAACAACCGCTTAAACCAATTGTTAGAGGTCCGAAATCTTGCATATTTCTACATAACTTCGTATACCAACTAAACCACTGTATGTAGTCTTCTGCAAATACAATGAACCCATCAGAGAATAATAAAAATAAAGGTCATAGAGTATTGCATAGATATGCCAGCATATTAATACTCCTTTCGTTCTAATCAGCCTTACTACTCTTTTGAAAATACCCGAGTAATGTGAACAATGCGTATGCAGCTTATTTGAAGGGGAGAATTGATTTACCGTAATAAAGTAATTCCCCTCTCAATAGAAAGTTTGAAAATCTGTCTAGTCGTCAACGTGATGCTTCATATCATTCGATTATTATTAATATAAGCAGTAAGTGCTATTGTTTCTTCACTGTTGATGATAAGTGAGTTTAATATCTAACCCATTTAACTAGGTCCAGTAGGCTTTTTCTCAAGAGCAGATACCTAAGCGCTGTTTTAGGAGCGTCTCCCGTTCATACCCTTAGGCTAAGCAAGAGTGTTTTGTATAAATACTTGATTTGGTCCTATGTGTGAGGATAAATTCCTGTACATACATGGATCTTGAACTTTGTCATTAGACTGATGACAGCATGTATCCAGCCCTCTCTTTGTATACCATTTCTCACGCTTAGCATCGCGACGATAAGTTATACACGCAGCAGGATTACACTCCGATGGCTTCCATAAAAATTAGGTACTGGATAGAAGACCACTTGGGTGCTATGAAAGAGTTGAGAGTGGGCCTATTTGGTCGTATACTTTATGGTGTTTCCATGTGTAGTATTCCTTTCAAGACTTTGCTTTGTAACACAGTTAAGCTGTGAGCGCTTACCAACACTGTGATAAAACGTGGTCGATGTATAGCCATTTGGAGAGTGAGTGAATTCGGTGTCAGTTAATTTGTTATATAAACGAACTTCTACAGAAAACCAACATCACTAGATTAGAATCAAGTTCGCCTAGAAAATTCATTTAACTACACTAAACACCAGCACGATATTTTCATCATACAAAGCTATCCTTACAACTATCTAATGTTTAAAATAGATATTTTTGATATAAAAACTTTGACTTATTTATTCAACAAATACGTCGGTGTAGATGAGTAATATTTTATTTGTTTTACTTGAAAGTTCTGTTGTGAATTCTTTTGTCCGTTGACTAACAATTTTATCTAACCAAATTGTGAAAGTATAGTCAACTTACAATCAGGACACACATACACACACATTTTGTAGATTCTCAGTCTAAACTTAGAATGACACAGTTGGGTGACACTGATGTTTTCATTGTTTTTAGTACAGTTTCTTAATTTCCATTAAATAATACTCCCATGACTTGAAATTTTGTCTATTTATATACTTCATCTAGAGTTACGCTAATTGTAAGAAAAACAATCATAAAAGTTACATTTGTCTCATTCAC